GGATCCAATATACAGGAATTCTCGTCGGACAATGCATATTCATTCCTAGAGGGCCCCATAGAAATATCTTAGCTCTAGTCAAGTTTTGTGGATACTTTTGATATTCAAATACAGCATTTTTATCTACCCCAGTCTAGCATTCACGTCAAGTTGGTATACTGGTCCAAAAACGCATGAACATATTCTCGATAGACCATGATTGTACAATTTATATTGCCCCATAATGATGCAACCACAATTGCAGTATCTTTTCTAAATAGGTGCATTATAAATATTTTCCAGTTGAGCAAAGCGCCCTGCATGCACCTCGTCACTTTCGGTTTGCATATTGTAGTTAATTTGAAATTTTGTGAAAAAATGTATTCTTCCTCCCTGAGTGATCCCCGTTTAAGTTCCAGGTTTTCAGTATTGCAAATGTTGGTATAGCTACATGGCTACATGGCATGGATTTATGGCTTCTGACTCACGCCCCGGGAACAAAGACATGGGAAAAATTGGGAGCCACCAACATAAGGCTGGATAGCTCACTTGGTAGACAGATAGAACAGTAATTGGAGGTCGCAGGTTCAAACCCCGCTGTAGCACTTTATTTGATGTATACCTTTAATACATCAGGGCTTTCTGTCCTCCAACCAGCAGACAGTCACATTGCAAAGGTATTCTATTTTGTATCAAATCCACCCCACATTTTGCCCTATAACTCAGTTGAAAATTCAATTTGAGTATGTGTAAAGGTCAAGTAAGCAGAAGGAGCGATTTGTGGCGGCTCCTTCCGGGAGATTGCAAGTGCAGTAAATTCACAATGACCAAGTACATTAATGATCGTGATCTGATACACCGTGCCCTCTGGAGGCATGCAAACAATAGGGAACAAAATATTTTACACGTCTCCACAGGGCAATTTCTATAGATGAATACGTCTCCACAAGGTTTTCACGAAATAGATATATGGATTTTACTCAAAAACTAGGAATTTCCAAGGTATGTTGATCCGTCGCAAATGGTAGAGTTTTAGAAAAGGGATATTAAGTCCGAATTTCAGCCAAGGAAATAAATTCTGGTTAAAATAAGAGCGTTTTGAAACTGTACTTTCAAACTCGAAAACTTTAGTACGCGAGAACAAAGAAATGTCTCCACAAGGATACAAATTTCAGTATTCGTGACCTATCCGTTTATGATGATCTGGTGCCGCCCGTTTCACAAGACTCTTGGTGTCGTTCTGTTTTCATACCATGCATATAGGAACACACATAACAGCATGGACGTAAAATAACTACCAACAAAACAATTAATGATCTTGCTCACGGAGTTGGGTGGATAAAAAATAGTTCTGCAACACTGCTGTTGGAGCTGACACAAATGAAATAATATTTCAGTTTGTGAGGTTACAGGTACCACACGCATAATGGGCGCCCACGACATTTCAAACCTGCGGCCGATCCAGAAAGCATGGACGGACTTGAGCGAGTCTACTACTTTGCGGTTTTCAAGGGCCATCGTGTTTTACCACTTGCAGTCATCGACGACACCGCTTGAATGAAATTGGATATTTTTTAAAACTTGCGAATAAATCCCGCTAATTAAATTAGATCACACGCGTGAAATTAAAGGAGTGGTGGTTTGGGGAGGATGAATTCAGTTAGTGGAAATCAGAAACGGTCACGGCCATGGGCCCGTGGATGGGTGCAACCAAGTTCAACGCACCCAAAGGAGCGTGGACAAAAAAAGATGAGGAGGCCAATTTGCATCAAATTTCAGCCACGAAAGATTGAAAGGAAGAAAAGGTGAATGCCTTTAAACCGTCGTTCTGCATTGAAATTGTTTTGATACAATGTTGACAGGAAGATAAGAGAAATCGTTATTTTCTTTATCACATTTGCAAAAGCCCAAGGCCAAAAGCCACTTGAGGTTGCAGCTGCAACATGAAAGGAGTTGTGCAGTATTTCTTAAAGCCAATGGTTATAGACACTTAAGTACCTAATCGAGAGGTATCCAAATCGTGTACAAGCGTAGAGCATTGAGTGTACAGACAGCTTCGGGTAATGGGCACTCGAAGCAGGATGTATCAGTTTGACGTTGAGAACGGTCCCAAGCAAGACGACGACAACAAACAACCGTCTCGCATGATGTCGTTTTGTTACACACAAAAAAAGGCTATGACAATGTTGACATCGGCCCGATGGAAATGACGTCAGCAATGCATACCGCCCTCAGCGGTAGTTATGGGCGACAACAGATTCAGCAGTCGGAAAAAAAGTGATTCATAAATTTCAAATAACCTGTCAATTTCTTAAATGTCAAGTGTCTTAATGCCACACTTGAAAGCTAAATCTCATGGTAAATTGTTCTCCAAAATTATGATTTGCACAACTTGAGGGAAATGCGATTTTGTTAGCTCGCACGCCAAGAAAACGGAAGGCAATATCGACACCAAAACATAGGTCAGACACGACGCCATCAGATACATAGAAATGTAATATTGGCCTTCCTCAACCCCCCCCCTCCCCCATGGGCGTCTTGGGGGACTAAAAAAACCAATATCCTCCACGAGTGCAATTGAACATGAACACCCCTCCTGTGTCAAATAAAACGACAGAAACTCTACATTCAATATTCCCATTCAATTAAAGTGTTTGATAAGATCGCTAGAGTGTATTTACCCTGGAGTGTGTGTTATTGGTATTTGCATTGGGGCATCCAGGCCCGCTTCCGTACAAAGCGAACTCAATCATAAAATTCGCCACAACACTGTCGACTCGGAATTGCATTAATTCTGAGTGGTCGTTCAAACACGGGGGCTATTTGCACGGCAAAGCATTTGACGGATTGAAAGATGGAGTAAAACAAACAGTTATGTAACAATGATTAACTCGCTGTAACAGGTTGCGAATCGAAGGCGCCAACGACTTCGGAATTACGAGAAAAAAAGGATCCGTTTCATAATAGTTCTCCTTTTTACTTTATTTTTTTTGTAAATAATTGAATATTCCTATGTCATATACCTACCTCAATAATTGAGTTCACAACATTTCTTTGTCACTGAATTCAAACAATTATTCATTCTTTAATTAGGCATAATGTTCAAACCCTGTAAAAGACAATTACAAAAGACAATTACTTTTCTACAATACACCTGTTTTTGACATGCCATGGGAACACAAATACTGCCAATAACTGCACGAGTTCTGCTTGTGACCTGGTTTAATCTGATTCCAAGTTAGTCATTCAAATTATAATTTGGAATCACACCCAATGACATCATCATTTAATCGCAGCAGTTTATATTTGTATATTCCAAAAATATATGGAAAAGGCAAACAGATTAATATTCAGTTTCATACCAAAAACGTTGCATCACGTGACCACAACGCCAATATTTAACGGGATGTGGAATCTTCCGCAGGCAAAAAAAAAGTTTACAAAGTATATCAATCGACACGTATACATATATAATGAGCACCAATACTTTTAAACCGTAGACATTGGAATTGATATAGAAAGCAGTGCAGAGTACATCAGTTTTCTGAAAAGCGCCATCACCTGACCGCAATGGTACGACTGCCCTAATATTGAAAACTTTAACTATCCACTAGGCCGCTGTTGGGAAAAAAACAATCATTCTTTTTTCAACAACCTTTGGGGAACTTTCAACTTTCCTGAATCCCAATTGTTTACTTCGATACGAAAGACAAAACAATTGAGGTTTAAACTAACTAACCCAAAACCCCAAACCACATGGATTTGCTTTCTTGAAACCAAACAACAAACACGCGGAGGAGGTATGATAAAAAGTCAGTGAGTTTGCAGTGAGGTAATTTATATAAGAAAAGTGTTCCCATGTGTATCGGTAGATACCATGACATGTCCATGGTACCCTCTCCAGGTGTGGAAATCTATATGCCATACATTCAGACATCGCATGCTCATACTAGATCTGGTAACCAGTCTTAACTCTAACATTATGAGTGTGAAATGTCAAGGATTAATTTACGTGTAATTAAACGGACGACGGGAACACCGACTGAGAGACATAAAACACCACTGCTTCATGTTTATGTCAAGACGTTCCGAGAAACAATTAACATTTTTAATTTCAAGTGATTGTCACACGAAGAAGGTTACATCCTATAAATTCTATGTGTCGTTTGGTATATAATACCATTCTGTGCGATGGAACTTGGCCCAAACACTGCAAAAACTATTAAATTAACACCATAAGGTATTTTCATGATATCCCATCCCAAGGTGTAAATTTAACACTGCAATTACACATAAATCCCTCCCTGACAGTTCGGCTTAATAACAAACGAAGGTCAAGGAGTTGTTGCCACCTCAGATAAGAGAGGCAGATCTCTCAGGCTTCTTAATGCAAGCTTCGACTATAGAAATGATGGGAGATACCTTAGAATGTGGGCAATAATTTTTAAACCAAACTGAAATATTCCCATCAATGAATAGTTCTTGGACACTAACACGAAAACAAATCATCCAAATCGAGTAAAATAAACAAAGAAATCGACGATATAGAAATATAAAAACGTTTTTTTTTTTTTAGCATTTTAATAAATCTCTGCTTCACCGGCAAGGATTGATACCAAACCGATCATACCAAAAAGGTACAAAAAACGATCTTCTTGAAAAATCATACCAAATTACCACACAAAAAAAACGATCTGGAAAAATCAGAAGACGTCAACTGACCGTCGCAGTCAGGATCGCAAACAATGGACTCGCCGATAGCAAACATGGCTGTCTGCGTCTATTGTGATTATGTAAACGAAGCTAATAGCTTCAAACACTAGACACTCAATCACACGTGTGCTTCATATTATTAATACCTTCTAGCAGAAAATCTACCTCCGCCCGAGTTTCAGTTGAATGGTTTTAATTTACAGAACACCATACATTATAAATATTTATTCACTATAGTACCAAACTATTGATCTCCTGGGTTTAAGAATATTCGTCTACCACAATCATAAAAACACACCCATACTTACCAATAGGTAGTTCTAACAGCAGTAACGCACACATTACCGTGAACATCATCTTTCTCAGGCATGGCGATTCCTCTAGCGACGCCATCGTCACTAGCTCACCACACCAACGTTGGAGTCAAAAGTCCGTCTGACAAATGAGCCAAGGAATAGTTCCGTTGTTGGACGACGTGATTTTGGGTAAAAGGCGTTAGACTCGTGCTCACGTCATACCAGAGTTACTTGGCTAACCGGCTATCCAATTATATGACAAAGTGAGGTTGTCGAGCGTCTGCTGGTTATCTGTGCTAAAACAACAACCGTTGATCGTTCATTTAGGCCACACAAATACACATCAATTTGCTGGGTGGGTTTTTGAGTGGGTAATCAAAATTCAAAGTACACCGTCTTACAAATCTCGAAGCCGCCTTCCACAAAAAAATGGCGTGACCGGCCGGGCAAAAAACTACGCCAAGCACGGCATCCAGAATGGATTTTCCTCTTTCTTTTTTTATCTGCAGCGCCGCTTATGATACATCTCAAGTACTGCAAAGAAGAAGCGTCCATCGGCATTCCCGGCTCGCCTGCCTCTTTCGCCCGGCAATCCGAGAAAGTCCTCCTATAGGAGAAACAGCTGGAGGAGGCCGCTAGTATTTCTTGCGGATGCCGTATCATTTGACACTCGTTCAGCCCGCCAGGTACACGGCTGTTTCTCTCTTTCTTAGTTCCATCTACATGCAAGCGTACGTATGGAGCACCCGCACCGCGCACGCGCAGGACATGACAATCAATTGGTTTTGGTGGAGGCGACAGCTCGTACGAGTAGTGCGTATGAGCGGCAGACGAACGTGCCATGACCCTCAGTTACCCAACAGCCGCCTTTCATCGCCACAGCAAGAAACAAATGCATCACTGAGAATATTTCTACCAAGTAGTGTCACGCTATACATGACGACCAAATCTCACTCAGCCACGAAATTCAATAATCATAATCGCCCCTGTATATTTTTTCCAGGAAGGAACATGCAAAAACTCACTAGCAGGCATTTCTTGCAAATGGGTACCAAATGCTCTATGGTGTGACATCGGAAAAATGCGAAATTGGCTTTCAGCAGAGAATGTGACAGTTTACATTGCCGCTGTTTTATTTACATCTCGAATATGTAAACTGGTTTTAAAATAACAGTTAGGCCGCGGGGAAACACCCATCAGACGATGTTGCATTGCTGGACTGACGGGGCCGACTTGCAGGCTACATTAAACCATGAAAATATCAAATATATCTCACCACGTGCAAGGCATGGTATGGTTCCAATCAAAGAGATTTACGCGATAACAGAATGTAATTCGGTCACAAGTTTACGGTCTGGTAAATTTAATTTGATGGAAATGAGTCGATGGCGATCAAGGCAGGGCGCCCCCATGGCCTCTGAACCTAGGGAACAGCGATGTGCAACGACTGGGCACAGAACTGTGGTATTATTAGATCACGAAATACCAAATAGCAATTGCAGTATGATGATAAACAAAATCACAGCAAATGCTGATCATTCAAAGTCTACACACTTTAATATAAACATCCTCGAATACACATCTTCATAAAAGCCCTATCACAGGAGAATGTTTCTCTTAATAACTCACTTTCTCAAGTGCATCATATCACTTCATCGTCGGTATTACTTACGGTTTATGTATGTCATGCCCATGATTCCGTGGACAGATCACGAAAATTGAAGCTGGGACCAATAAAGTATGGAAAATAAAAGGATAAAAAAAATACATAACAAAGTGATGAACAAGAACAAACTGCTTAGACAAAGAAGCTTAGGCACGTGCAGAAAATAAGCAAAAGTGCTTACAGATAACTGAGACAACACATTGGATGCTAAGACCAAACCCTTCTAAAATTGTTTAGACAAGAAAGAAAATAACTAAAACATTCAAAGTATACCCGATAATAGTAATTAATTATACCTTAGGTGGACACCGGACATTAGGGAGACATTTCAATGTCTCCCTAATGTCACAACTCCTATTTAGAGGCAAAATTGTGTTGTAGCAAATAGGCGAGATCGATTGGTCGTGGTCCAAAACATAAATAAGCCCAAATTCTAGGATAAGGTAAAAGTGGGGTTGTAGGTGACATTGAAGATGGAATAATGGTATGCACAAGGCTATGCATGGGAATGTCCCCCAAAATGACCCATTTTCCGTAATCCGAATAAATATAATTATCATGAGGATAAATATTACAAAATACATGTTCCTTCCCTACGAGTTGACCTCTCCACAAAAAATGTAACAAATGACAAGTATACAGATTTCTAAGCAACCAATCATTCAACTCAGCCTGCGGAAGGTAGTCACCGTTCATATTCAATAATTAATTGACACTCGAGCGGAGGATGATGTCCGTGGCGATGATATCGATGAACCCCCACGGCCCATTTCCCCTTTCGTCTCTTCGCACCTGGGTTACGAGATGACAAGAGCTTCGAAGAACCACGGCACATTTGTCATAGGCGTTCAGGTCAAGGCGAAGGCCTGCGGGTTACAAAATACTGGTTTGCCTATATGACAGAGCGGCTGAAGTATGCCGCGTTATACTGGTAAAGACAGAATAATACCGCAAACCGGTACAGCTATAATACAAAATCCAGAAACTCGCTAAGTATATTCAGATGATAAGTTTGACTAAACACTTCAACATGTTAGGCTTTGGTTATCAAGCAACGCCATAAAAGGTCAATCACACTCCCGGGTGAGATTTTTGACACTTTTCCGGGTCAGAATGACACTTTTCCAAGTCAAAATGACACTTGCCCGGGTCAAAATGACCCGGCAAATTATCCAGAGTAGTGTCGTTTTAAAAGTGTCATTTGGACCCGGAAACGTGGCAGGTCAAACATGACCCAGATTCAAGATTTTTTAAGAGTGCAGTACAAACTATAATGCAAAGAACACTTGACAAATTCATAGCAAAGAAGTTATTTTACCAAAATCCAAAAGTAAAAATTAATTTGAAAAGAACTAGCGACAGGTCCAACTCGTCGATTTATGTAAGAGTCAAAGGTTTGTGTGTGGTAATAATATATGATATATGCGAATTCAATTTTTCAAGCAATAACTTTGTAGTTTTTATTTCTATCAGGCTGAAGTTGGTAGAGAACAAACTCTTTGAACACTCACACCACACAAAGAATGAACAACCTTTGCAACATGCGCAATATTTCGAGGCGGAGGAAGAGGCTTTTTAACTTGAGCAGAATCAACCGGGGACGAACATGGTCAATCCCCGCACTTGACAAGCAATAGCTGGGATTCAATCCTGGAGCTTTAGGAAACAGGAGGAAATCAAATCAGACGAAAGAGGAGAAATCAGGTTGAGGGAGTTAGGCCCATATGCGGAGGCAATTTCACAGTCGGCTCGCGATAGAAGTGGGGATTACTCCGAATTTGGACGGCAAAGCTTTGCGCGGATATCTCGAAGACTTTAAGGATCTGAAATGTATGTCACTGAGCAATGTCGGACAAGCAGATTGGACCTTAAGTCTGTTTTTGGTGAAGACTGTGAATGTAACTCTTTATGGGATAAATTAAAAGCGCGACGCCGTGGCTGTGATACTGAGGCGAACGGACAGTAAATAATGAGGTTTAGTACTATGCAGAGCATACTGTAAGTAGAGATGACTTGAATGAGTAAACATCCTTGTTTTGTAACATCTCATTTTTAGCTGCGGGATAGCAGCTCAACATAATCATGTCTTTTCCGTTAGTCCGTTAGTTAGTAACAAACGTTGACATTGTCTATTGCTCCTACATATTTTGACCGATTTCAAACAAACTTTGTCAAAAGTATCAGTAGCCCCAACCTCATTACAGGGCTTACTATATTTACAACCTCGTTTCCAATAGCAAACCATGGATAGGAAACTTTCTTCCTGTATACTGATTCGATACCGCAATTGGCAAGTAACGGATTTATATCGTGCACTTGGTGTTGTTATTTCCAACGTGCATTACGAGTTTTCAAGTTCACTGTAATTAACGTCCACACCTTCTCAAACTAATGCTTTCCTTTCCAATTTGCTCTTATTAATATGAAATGTGATACTGTAAATTGGTTGGAGAAGATTGTATTTTACGCCGCGACGAACTGATTATGTTTTTACCCCAGACACCGCATACAAATACAAACGCTAACGTAAAGCACAGGCTGGCACCAGACTATTCCTATTTTGCATACATGTCCAAAAATTACCACGGTGAGAGAGCAAGTAGTGGTGGTCGCGTACTGCTCGACACCCTAGGGACGAGGGTGCAGTAGCCCAGTCCCAACATGTCACATGACCAAATTGGGGTCAGAGGTCATCATGGGGTCATTGGGGTCAAAAAACTTCTTTTTCTTAACTCAAAACACTACTTCCAGAAATTACATGGTACAATCACTTGACTCGTGTATGAATACGAATTCGTTGGCCCACAGCTTCCGAGGTCCAATCGAGCTTGTTTTAAAACCATATATTAAGTAGCGTAGAAAATGATTATTACCTCATTAGTACATTTAAATAATAAGCCTATTTGGGTGGGAAATTTTACCTCGAAAAACAGTTAAAATCATTTGCGTGAAACGACAACCAGCAAATAATTTGCCTCATTAAAAATGTATCAAGATTGAAATACATCTGACAATACTTTTGTCTATTGGTCAAGGTAGCTTTTCCGTCATCCCTTCTCAAAGCCATTGGGAGAACGACATGGAATAGAAAACTATTTAATCTTAACCTCTTTCTGGGTCTTATTTGTGAATAAAATGACGAGGAAAAACCATTGCCAGATTTAGCTAAGTTACTTTTAGAGTAAATATGCTGTTTCTTCATAATTTATAACTCAGTTAACTCACCCTGGGTATATTTATAACAAGATAACAGAGATGAACGCAACCTTTCCTTAACAAACCAAAAATGCAAACAAAGAAGAGAGTGCTCTACAGAATATTAATCATTTTTACTACGTCCAACGCAGAAGTCCTGGAATTTGATCTGCCATTTTGCCCTAAACCCTTCTTGATTTGTAACCATTAAACCTGAACAACCTCTTATTTTTTTCTCAAGAAGAATCTTTTACGAGATTCTGAAGTACAGAAGGCAGATTACTCCGATCCATAATTGCATATTGTAGCTGGCAAATTGCTTGCGGACCGCAAGTAGGTCTCCTGATTACCGGGCGTTGAGAGCCCGCAGACCGGGGGAGAAACCGACTGAAGAGGCCCCCTTCTCTCGTCATTAAAAAAATACAACAAATGATATTATCCCGATGAGATTACCAGGCGAAAGACGACCCGAGTTGGAGTAGGGTCCTACTCATTTGTCACAATTTATCTGTCGTGAAAATAACTCATTGAGGGTGGCACCAACCGGGGCGACTTGGTTAATATGACTCAACGTCAACTATCTGAACGCAACCGCATTATGCGAGGTCTATTCAGTGCCCACCAACATCCCTGCTGAGAAAGTGCGTGATTATAAAAAGCGGCAACACAGTGGTATTGATTTGAAATGAGTTTCGCTTCTTACATGCTGGAGAGAATATTAATGTGACTCAACTGAAGAGGAACTTGGATGTCCCCCTGTGTGGAAGGTTCTGTCTCGACGTCTTCCGAGAGATGATTGTGACCGGCTGATCAAGGAGGAACAGCGGG